ACAAGCTCCTACTGGAGATAAAGGTGCATTCTTGGATTTGTTCATTTTAAATTTTATCTAAATCAGTATCACAAGTAATTTTGCTTTAAAATTTGGGCAGTTAAGTTGGAAAATGCTGTTGCTGATGCAATGACAACCTTCAAATAGCAGTGGGAAGCAGTAACTTGACTGGACAATGAGATTGGTCAGCTATTGCTATAATCCTGTTATATTAACACTTTATGCCTGGTGGACAAACTCAATAATGTTGTTTTTTGGCATATCAACTACTAAATCATTAACCATCGTCTAAGACGTAAAACTTCTCAGAGGCCAATTATTGGGATAAACAAATAGACGAAAGACAAAGAGAAAAAGGAAAAATAGATCAGTAGAATCATGTGGCATTCCAAATAGAAAAAGAGACTTCATTGAAACTTATAATTTCTATGGTCAAGCATTAGAAATCCAAAGCAAAAACTAAAGCAAACATGGAAAAGAAAGTTTAGCTGGTTCTAACTTCATTCAAGATAGTCTTTTGAACCCTACTACTTCCTGGTAGCCATCCACCATCAATGGAATCCATATCTCCACTTAATCCATCATCCATGAAATCCCCTATCCTTTTAACCTTACCCGTCGGCTCGACTGGGTAATTGCCCGAAAAGCAAGCATAGCAAAAGCTTTTAGAATCATTGCCTAAGAGCTTATTCAAGCTATCCATTGGCAGAAAAGCAAGCGAATCCGATCCAATGAACTCCTTAATCTCCTCCACACTCATCCTATTTGATATCAACTCATCTGAACTAGGAGTATCCACTCCATAATAACAAGAAGCTATAATTGGTGGGCTTGCAATCCTCATATGAACCTCTTTCGCACCCGCCTCCTTTAACAGCCTCACAATCTTGGACGAGGTCGTTCCTCTAACGATCGAATCATCCACGACCACAACTCTTTTTCCCTCCAACACCGCCCTAACCGGCGACAGCTTAAGCTTCACCCCGAAATCCCTTATCTTCTGCGATGGCTCGATGAACGTCCTACCAACATAATGCGACCTAATCAAACCTTGTTGAAACGGTACCCCTGCTTTAGCAGCATAACCGAGCGCAGCCACGACACCCGAGTCAGGAACTGCTATCACAACATCACATTCCACGGGAGCTTCAGTAGCAAGAATCTCCCCGAAAGCACGCCTAGACTCGTACACAGACCTCCCAAACACGACCGAATTAGGCAGAGCAAAGTAAATATGCTCAAAGATACAAGATTTACGCTCAGGATGAGGCATCAAACAAATAGACTGAACCCCATCTTTATCCACAACAACAACCTCACCAGGATTCACCTCCCTCTCATAAGTAGCCTCAATCAAATCCAAAGCACACGTCTCAGACGCGAAAACAACAGCACCATTACTTCTCCTACCCATAACCAATGGCCTAAACCCATGAGGATCCCTTACGGCAACCAACTTATCCTCAGTAACAAACACCATAGAATAAGCACCTTCAATTTTTTCACAAGCCTCAACAATCCTCAATAAAAATGGCCTAGCTTTAGATATAGCAATAAGGTGAAGTACAACCTCAGTATCAGAACTTGTATTAAAAATTGACCCATTTTCCTCTAGTTCACTACGCAGTAACTTATAATTCACTAAATTACCATTATGGGCAACACCAACTGACCCAAATTTATAACTAGCAACAAAAGGCTGAACATTTTTTAACATAGAAGAGCCAGCAGTAGAGTACCTTACGTGGCCAATTGCCATGTCACCAGGGAGTTGGTCAAGCTTTGACTCATTGAACACGTCGGATACTAACCCAACACCTGTAATTGACTTAAGAACGTCGTCGTTAACGGCGACAATGCCGGCGCCTTCTTGGCCACGGTGTTGAAGCGCGTGAAGTGCTAAATAGCAAAGGCGTGAAGCTTCTGAGTCGCCATAGATGCCCACAACGCCACACTCTTCACGGGGTTTATCGTCATCGTCAAAATAGGAGTCCAAGGTATTGTCAGCTGATTTCTTAAACGAAATGACGTCGTTTAAGGGGTTTTTGGAAGAGGCGGTGATGAGAGTTCTGTAGGGTTTAGGATGGGTTTTAGGGGATAAAGATAAGAGCTTTTGAGATAGGGAGCAAAAGGGTTTGTCAAGGGGCTGTGAAAGAGGATATTTGTTGGTGGCGGCGGCAGAGGCGGTGGAGACGGTGGCGGCCATGGGTGGTGGGAAAAATGAGGACAGAAGGAAAAGCAAGTGGGGGGCTATGTGAATAGCCAAAGAGGCTGAGCTAGGTTTTGGTGGTTATATGGGGTTTGTGTGTGGAGTGAAAATGCCGTAGGGCAAAACCGACGTGTGGTGAGAGTGGGCTCTCTCACTGCAGAATCTAATTGGTTAACTTTTTTTAGCTTATGGTGATAGTGATAGAAGGATTTGGGTCACCACAGAATAAAATTGTTAAAACTTTAGGGGTCGTTTGGTTGGAATCGGATTTATACCGGTATAAGTTATGCCGGTATAAATTATATTGAGATAAGTTATGCTGGGATTGTTGTTTATTCATTGATTGGTATATTGTATTAAGAATGACAATTGCATAATTTTTAAGAAAAATATAAGTTATACGGGTGCTAATTACCCCACCTTCTATAAGGTATAAGTTATCCCAATGTTAAAATTAACACCGAAATATCTTATACCTGATTTGCGAACCAAACAGAATATTAAGGTGATATTAAATTTTTATACCATTCTTATACCTTATACCTAATACCAAACGATCCCTTAGTAATACATAATACTACTGTATTATTTTAATTAATAAAAAGAAAATTGACCCGTTATTAGCTTTCGGCGATTTTTTGGGTCAAAATAACATATACTCACACAATTTAGATTCTCGAGATGGCCATGTGACTTTTGCTTATGCTAAAGGGTCCCGCAAATTTGGTTGATACTTGATAGTATAATATTTGAAAAAATGATTGTATAGTCGCTCTCAAAATAATAGTCGAATATATATATATATATATATATATAAAACTTTATATATTTTTTCGATTACCGAATATAAATAATTTCTGACGCGAACTAATATTGATAATACCTTTGATATTTCCCTCACAAGGGTGCGTCAATGGACCAAAACTAATTTCCAACTTTTGTCCTGAAAATATGTTTGTGAGACTTTTTTAATTAGTTAAAATTATTTGTTTCTCTAACTTTCTGTTAAAAATTACATTGTACTTCCAACCCGGGTGCTGGGAGTGAGTTCGACCAAATTCAGCAACTTTGATTCGAACCTTGTATTTATCTTTGAAAAATTATTGATTATATATAAATTATTTATTTAGAATCCAGTAACTTAAAACGAGTAGAATCACGAACCCATAAATTTAAAATCTTGGTTCCGCCTCTGCTTACAACTATAGATATTTAATATTCTTTTCTTTTTATTTCAATTTAATTCTTTAGATGTCTAGGTTGGCAAGTACAAGGAAAGGGTGGAAAATCAAAATGATTGTAGTAGTTGTACACATTCTTGTGGAACACTTTTGAGAAATATCGTTTGTTCTATATTGTAAAAGTAAAATCGTTGAAAAGGAAGAGAGGGAAAATTTTGGTGGGGATTTGGAATTGTAGCAATTTACACCAAGCTTCTCTTTCTTGTTAAGATTAACATGTTTGATTCCTTTTGGATGAAAGAAAGAGATATAAGCAATGTTCATAGCCACAAAGCTTATTCAGAATAAACTTGATTCTACTTTTGTTTTTATCAACTTGCACTCTCGTACACATAATCTATCTAAGTTACAAAGAAAGCAAGCGATAAACATTGACTTGTCCATTCATTCTGTTTGATTCCTAAATTACTTATTGGACCAATACTTGTAAATTTTCAGAAGCCGAATACTACTTTGGTTGACTTGAATTTATCAAAGTAATTTTTTTTTCTTTTAAAAAGGCATGACAAATGACAAGATTTGAGATTAGTCACCTATCCTTCTCAAAGTACAGTCATTGTACAATATGATATTAGAATGCTTCTGTATCCTTGAAAAGATAAACGAGAAGAAAAGAGGGGATTGGCATGAGTCGGGAGAAAACTTACTCACACTCGATATTTGTACTATATTATATAATATGTTATGGTTAAATCATAAATTGTATTGGGGGTAATTCATGATTAAATAATATGACTGTATGTATAACCACCAAGATTTAAAATCTAGTAGTACTACTGTTAAATCCCCTATGTAATTGAAAACACAAAATTTCTTAATTTTGCATATAAAACCAAATCTCACACATCATGAGTTTGGTGTTCAAATCTTTTATCAAGTATGGTTTCTAAAGGTTATTTAAATTCTCATCATCACGAAAGAAGTGTTATATGAAGAATGTTTTTCTGTGCTTTTGGGGCAGCATCCAATAGAAAATAACAAAGGAAAAATCACTCTCAAAATTTGGCAATTTTGGTCAAACTCGCAAGTTGGGATAAGAACGAAGTACGCAGTCCACACGTCGTTAAAAAACTTCCAACCAGGGATAACAGAACAAAGTACTCAATCGACATTACAAGACGCAATTCATCAAGTTGAGAGCCATTTAACACCAATGAAATTGGCTTACAAACATATGGACAAGGAAAAAAGCCAACCCCCATACGCCCCACCGAAATTGGTCCACAAACATTCCTTTTTCTTTTCTTTTCTTGAATAAAGATGATATTGGAACAAATTCGCACATAACTTATAGTAGTTCATAAATATCTGCTACCTCCTACTAGGACAAACACTCAATAACTGCCCACCAATGCTTAAGCACTTGGAGAAAAAAAACTGTTTTTTTATCTCTACTAAAATTTGAACCCTAAATCTCCACGATTTACCACAAAAATTCCTCGTTAAGAAGACCTTATCACAATGCAGTTCATAGAGATTGCCTTTTAATCACTCAAACGACAAAATGAATCTAATCATGAAAATTGCTGTATTAAATGACATAGAAGAACTTCCCAGGATGACTTTTCAGTACATTGAGTACCACCAATAAAAACCACAAAAAGTGAGCGCGCTGCATCAAAAAGTTTCTTAAGCGTGCCACAAGTCAAGAAACTCTCAAACATATGGCTAAAAACGTTTATAAACATCAAATTACTAGTCAAGCATTTGGAGACGTATTTGACTGATAATCCAATCAAATTTTATAAGTTTGTTGCGGCCATAAGACGCAAGAGTGGGAAGGGTAGTCTTTGAGACACAAAATAGAAAGAAAAGACGCGTTACAACTTGCAATTGCTCTTGAATCTATGGATACTTCTTCTGGTAAACTAACCAGTTCTCAGAATAATGTGAACACCACTGTCAGTATCAATGATGTCACTGATCTCACCAACCTTCAGTGCAAAAGTTGTATCTTCAAATGGTTTCTGCATCTGCCCTCGGCCAAATGGACCTGTACATAAAATGAACTTCATAAGCATTCACCAGTTCACCTTTGGGGATGCAGAAATGACATCAGAAGGCCATTAAGCAAGCTGACAAACTCTATTATATCCACAAAGATATATTTCTATCTTGGCACTTTGCAGTGTCAATGGTATATTATTCCAGTTGCAATCACCTTCTTTAGTGGAAAACAGTAGAGATAACCCCTACCCTCATGTTTTGTTTTCGATAGCAGCTGGCTAGGGGTGTATTTTAGATTCATTATTTGGGCTTTTTGCCCTTTACCAGAGATAAAGACTTAGTTGACATTTACAGAAAGGGGCATACAAGAAAAACACAGAAAAACTAAGGGTTAAGGAGCAGTGCTCTATATTGGGTTTGTGATTGCACATTTGCCACCTTGCCTCTGTTAAATTTTATGCATTTAGAAAACTTAGAAACCTGACAAAACCTTTTTAACCCGCCTCGGTTAACAAAAATGTTATGCGGCATCAAGCAATTACTTAATGCAGCGATTTCTATGGTAAGAGACTACAAACCTTGACAAGCTGAGAGCAAGCCAGAAGATTGACAACAACACCCAACATGACCATTATTATAACAAAAAGCAGTTTCTGACCAGAAGTATATACTGAATGACAATTTTAGCCTTCAAAAGCTTTAGAAGAATCAGATATTACAAATTGAAATGATTCATAGGATGAATGAATGTGACAGCTAAGCATATAATGTTGTAAAGAGTATAATGATTTACAAAACAAAACATTTTATAATATTAAAATTTTAAAAGCAAATAGCAAAGATCTTTGAATAGTAAACTTATGTAGCCAAATAACATTATTCGACTGTCAAACTAAGTAGAGCCTGAACAGAAGTGAAGCTAGGCATCAAACAAAGTAGAATACAAACGCAGAATTTTTAGAACATTGGCCAACCACCACAGTGAAACCAACAATTGTGGAAGCCAGTGCAAGAAGAGCACCAAAAATAGCAATTATATGTAGCTATAGGAATTTTAGTTACTTTCGACTAGCCACAAGTGATAGACTCATAAAAATCATACAAGATACAGAAAATGATCTGGCTTTACATTTGAATATCTTTTTTGATAAAATAACCTTTACATTTGAATATCAGAAATCTTGTCAGAGGAGCAGCTTGATAATAGAACAAGTTACTTATAATAATGCTAAAAATTACTTTTGCAATCTTACTTCCGAAACAAGCTTATAGGATATATTGCTTTCTTAATGTCCTTACCTCTTTAATCTGATAACTAAGAACTCAATCAGCTATTGCCAAGTGGAGAACTACAGGAATGTGCAGAAAAGGTTTGAACAAGATTGAGTAGGTTTAGGGATCACACTTTTCCTTTTTAGTGAATGATCTAGATCACCACATTTTATCCAAAATGATTCACTTGCTTTATCTGAGAGGGGGTTGCATCTCCAACCTATAGCCATTGTTAATTAGTGTCAACAATACCCAACAGACAAAGAAGAAAAGAAATTAGATTAGTATCACATACGGTGCACTGGCTGTCCAGTTTCCTAATCTAAGAGAATAGCAGCCGAATATCACACTGCTGAAGGCTTATAACTTTATCCACACATGTACGGTATAAGCAATAATCTGTCTGCTTCTATTGCTGAATAGTACCAAATGACCTCAAGCTGCAAGAAGATGTGGACAGAAATCTTTCTCATGGTAGAAAAGTCCTCATAATTTATATCATACTTTTCACCTACAAAGCAGTTCCTTTTTTATTTTACTTTTTTTGATAACGTGGTGTCCAGGCCAGCTTGCACGCACCTCGACTAATTATATGGGATACCTGCTAAAATTCCGTTTTGAATTTCCAAAGAATAAAAACTAGCGCTTCCCGTCGACTTACAAACAAACAAAAGACTTATGATTTGGCGAACTCACTCATAGCAACTAGCACTTTTCTTCTTCAATACTTGCTTACTGGCCATTATAGAAAGGGTGCTATACTAAAGATTTGCGATATAGAGGGCAAAAGTTTTAACCAATTAGTAGATGCACATAAAGAGGTGGAGGGGAGATGGCATGTGCAATTTGAACAATATCGGTAGACATTGTTTGCTTGAGAAATGTAGCAAAAACGTGGTTGTACTATCAATCAAATATAAAATTCTATTCCACTAACAGCAATTTACCAATTATACATGTCTTTATTCAGTGAAGCTGTCTCAAAATAGTAGTAAGAAATTATGCTTATTCAATAACAAATGTCCAGTTCCCTAAACATTAATTCTTCACTTCCTTTCCTATTTCTTTCTCAGTATAGCTAATAAGAAACATAAATTGAATTTTACCCCCAAATGAGTGAAGGACTAGCTAAAATTCAATACGTTTTGATTTTAGCAGACTAACATCAAAGCTAATTACTACTAATAACCGATCAAAACCCAGCATAGTCATCTTCCAATATCAATCAATTAACTACGCACCTCAATCTCAAATTAATTGCAATTAGGTACATGCATGTATTTTAAAGCAAATTAACAATTTTCTAAAACTAGAAAGTTCTTTAAATCTCAGATCTTAATCCCTAGAAAAGCCATACAAATCTAGAACCAAAAATAAAAAAGACTCCTAACAAACACATAAGTTATTACCGAGATCGCCACCGCGTTTGGCGGAGCTGCAATCAGAGAAGCGAGAAGCAACATCTTCGAACTTAGATTTGCCGGAGATGATGTCATCCCGAAAGGCTTTGAGCTGGGTAACGGCGGCGTCTCTGGTAGTGTTAGAGATAACGCGACCTTCTGGATCTTTCCATGATGCTTTGCGTCTTGACCCCTCGTGTTTTATCAGTATGTGCGATGCCCTCACTTGGTTCGACGCCATTTTTATCCTCTTTCTTCTCCTACAAGATTAACACACTATCGCCGCCGGTATCCGCTTTATTACTAGTAGCTGTTTTGTGTAGTTCTGTAGTCTCTGGGAAAAAATTACTCCATATTTACACCAGCTCCAATAAATAAATCGTTTTGTATAAAGTATATTCTTAATTCATTATTATCACTAATTACGATAAATTAATACTCCCTCGGCTACACATTAAGGGGTCGTTTGGTATGACGTATAAGAATAATGCTAAATAAGGTACATTAGTAATGCATGTATTAGTTATACAGAGATTATTTCTTATGCATTGTTTGGTGTGGTGTATTAAAAATTAAAATGCATTGCATAATTTTTAAGAAATTTAATTGTTTACAAAAATGCTCTCCATATTCTTTAACTTAAGGGACTTAAGGATAATTTTATTTTTAACCATGCTAATGCATGCATTAATAGCATTTGTATAGCTAATGTCATGGTTTTCTATGCATTAGCTATACATAGGATAATACCAAATATAGTGTATAACTAATGCTTGTATTAGTTATACATAGGTGGAAAACGTGTACCAAACAAAGCATTACAAATACACAAAGCTAATGCATACATACACAAAGCTAAGTGATTTTTGACTCTCTTCACACATATTAAGAAATTTACCTTTTAGTATTAATTAATAATAAAATTAATCTTATTAATTTTAATTTGCTCATTGAAAATATAACAAACCACTCATATGCTCTTTAATCCAAGGACAACTTTGAAAGAATAAGTTAATTTCTTTTTCATATGTGAAAAAATTAAATATTGTGGTTCACAAAAAGGCCACAAAATCACTTAAAATGGACAGGAGAGAGTATAATTTTGCTTATATTTGAGTAGTTTTTTTTTACTTGGGAGTTTTACTATGTTACGAGTCATTGTTTACAAGTGATCATTCGATCTTAATAAATTTTACTTCCTCCGCTCAACAATAAGCAATTTTTTGTTTTTACGGACTTTTTCAGATTTCAATAATGAATTGATTTTGTTTTGTCCTACATTGCCTTTTGAGTAAATAGTATTAGCGTATGTGTTAGGAGTGTTTTTCTGAAGAGATACTAAAGATTAATATGGTCAATTTCATTACTAATTAATATTAAAATGTGAATTTCTTAATTTGTATGGGAAAAAAATTACTCATTATGGACCAGAGGAATTAATCAGCTTTGTCAAAGTGATGAATATTAATTCATTGTGCAATTACTGGATACGCATGATGTTTTTAGTTAATTAATTAATATAGTTAAATTGTATAAATTGAAATAAATCCGTGATATCAGGATGTAAAGAAAAAAAAGTGCGACCAGGTCATGCAAGCATATTTATCAAGACATACTTATGTAAAAAAAATATATTAACAGATAATTTGCTAAATCATACTATTTCATTCTTAATTTCACTTTTATAAAGAGCTATTTTGACTAATACTGAAGTTCAATTACGTTATAAAATAAAGACTATAAAGTAAAGACAAGTATATAGAGAAACTGATATATTATTCGAATTCAAACTGATGTACATAATGAACTGAAATCTCTTCTATTTATAGAAGAAAGGAAGCTGCTCCGTAAGCTGCTACTACAAGCTGCTGTGTAAGCTGCTACTACAAGCTGCAGTGTAAGCTACTATAAGCTGCTGTGTAAGCTGCTACTACAAGCTGCTGTGTAAGCTGCTACAAGCTGCTGTGTAAGCTGCTGCTATACCAGATATGGATAATCTTCTACTGAGAGCAATATTTATCCATAACGGAGTACTGAATGGATAAGCTTATTATACCCGGTATGGATAATCTTTTACCGGGGGTAATGTTTATCCATAACTGGGTACTGAAAAGATAAGCCTATTATACCCGGTATGGATAAACTTATAATGGGGGTAATGTTTATCCATAACCGGGTACCGAAGTGATAAGCTTCTTCAGGAAGCTTATTTCCAATATAGTACTAAATAGATAAACATATTTACGGTGGAGTCCCATATGGATAAGCTTCTTCAGGAAGCTTATTTACAACGGAGTACTAAATGAACATCCATAATATAATATATTTATAACAAATTAATTATTGTTAATAAATAAATTATAACAAGGCTTTCGTGTAAGGCTACAAGGGGAAATATACATCATGAATATTTAACCAAAACAAAAAAACAAAAAAAAGAAGCAAAAACCACAAAATGAAAAGGAAAAAAAAGAAAGAAGAAAAACCCTCAGAGGTTTTAACTAAGGGGGCGCACAGCAGATCACAGCTCCCACTATATAAGCCCACCGTCGTTTGTATGCTCAGGCCTTTCAGGGTTTGTGAAAAATCTAGGGCTTAAAAAGAGATCTCGAAGAAGCTGTACTTTGCAAGTCAACAATGGCGCCTCTTCCCGGACCTTACTCTGGTACCAGCACCCTTGCTCTGGTAATCCATTTTTCTCTCTCTTTCTATTCTTCGATCTAATGTACCCGTCAATCATTGATTTTGAAATGCTTTTAATTGACTGAAAAATCATATTGTTGAGTTGATCTGACTAGAGCGAACAGATTTAGATTGATGCTTTAGGTGATTGGTTAATTAATCAATTTAATTGTTTGGGGACAGGTGGCTCGTACCTCGGCATTCACATTCGGACTTGTTTATGGTAGCATGAAGCTCAAGTATCTCAGGGTATTTGCTTTGTTTCTCTCCTCACTATTTATTGATATTTTTAGATAAGAAGGAAATTTTTGCTTTTTGTTGATTTTTTCTGTCTGGTTTGATGTTTCTTCAACGTCTTTAAACTGTGAAATTTTCTACACTCGATTGTTAACTGTCAGATTTTTAGGTTGCAGCTTGAATTTTTGATATTATTCTATCTAATTGTCTTGAAGCTGAATTGCAAAATTAAATCAGATAAAAGAATGCCCTAATAGATGGTAGATCTATTTGACAACAAGCTCAATGTGAAGGGAACAAAATGCAGATATTATTCAATGAGGTGATTAGAAGACATGACAAATTACCGCATGTTTAAGTACCCGTACGCGGCACAGCTTTATTTCTTCGAGACCACCTGATCTACTTCCATGAAATTAATTTGGATTCTGAAGCAGAAAGAAGATACATAAATTTTATATTCTCATAGCCTGTAGAATGGTGATACAAACGGAAAATACAAGCAGAAATTCATAATCTTATTATTTAATATGGAAGGTAAGTATATCATTTTGTGAATGTTATGCATCTGATACCTATGTTGCTCGGACTCATCAAAAATGCCGTCGGGTGCGTGTCGGATCCTCCAAAAGTAGTGCATTCTTGAAGGATCCAACATGGGTGCGGCAACATTTTTGGAGAGTCCGAGCAACATAGTCTCATACTTAGCTATGAACATGTCGACAACGTGCTTCCTCCAATGTCCAGTTTAAGAGTGGAGGGAAAGGTGCCCAATGATTAAAAGCCCATTGATCAGTTTGTTGGTTTAGGATGCTGTTCTTGGGGCTCAACGAGTGTGTTTGACTTTGTCACAAAGAAAGACTATAGTGTACACTTGTGTTACTGCAATGTGTTGTAAGAACTGAATGATTAAAATAGTTTCTACCTCTCCAAGCATATAGCTCCTAGATCCTATTTATCATTTTCTACGGGAAATAATATTCATGACCTGTCCAACTTAGACGCAATGTGCACTTTGCTCATAGCGATGGACCTTTTCACGGTTCATGAGCACCCTGAAATCCTGCCTCCATCCACATTGAGAAATGAGAGACAGGATGTGTTTGGAATTTTATTTTCCATCTCTTGTCCGCGTAATTTGTAATGCCTTTTTAAAATTTGTGTGAATATTGCTTGGAAGTTGATGTGTTCAACAAATTTCTACAGTCGTATTTTTTCTTTTTCCCTTGTTGATTGTTTTGTGAATCTCCTTGTATCAGTTGTAAATATTTGGTTTTCTTTCAACCAAAGGATGTTTACAATTCTTTTTAATACTAGCTAATTTGCCTTTCAATCTGCATAGACTAATGTTTATTGCCAACTTTCCGTCTTATTTATTTCAGGCTAAGGCCAAGTCTCACCAGAAGGCTGAAGCTAAGGCACATCACTGATAGAGAGCAGTATGCTGCATTTGCTGTTTGATAAAAATAATATATGACAATCATATAATATCAATTTTCATTCTGGCCTGTTGCTTAGGACCATCATTTTCGACTTGTAACTGTTCAATTTTGTGTTTTGAGAGTTATTAGATATTTTTATGGTTCATTTGGTATCATAGTGGTCCAATTTTGAGGACTGCATTGGACAAACAGGGGAAAAGTTGGCCATAGATCTGCTAGCACAATAATCTTGTTACATCAAGTCATCCAGGGAAAAAGCTAATTTAGTTTGTGGTTATTCCATCAATGATGAAGATATGTTGACTTCCTTTCTTGATGAGCTTTCTAAGGTGGTTCATTTACCGCGGTAAAATATTGATTGAACACATAATTATGCGAAATGGATCTCTTCTATCTTGTGTTTGATTTAATATACTATAATGGTTTTCAGCCAGTGTAATCTATCGTGGAAAGGCCAAGTAATGCCTTATATACTATCATTATGCGAGAGCAATACAACTTGGAAACATAATCAACACAAATATATGCAGGTGTAAGTTTCTATGAACTTTAATTTGTGGATCCGCATCACTCATGTAAAAGTTAAAATATCCAGACAAACTTTTACACGAAAATTTCTAGTCTTTAATTACTATTGGTATAGGTTACCTTTTTGTTTCAATTTCTTCCCCAGAACAAAACACAGACTAAACCAGCTAGTAAACTTGCTTAAGTTGAAATGGAGAGGCAAAGGCAGAGCTCGTGCATGGAAAGGCCAAGTAATACTACTTAACTGATTCGTATTATCAGACATGAATTATACCTGAAACAAGAAAAGAAACTAGCTAGAAAGTTCTGAACATAGTTCAATAAGGTTTCCACAATTTGGAACCTGCGCAAATGTTCTTTGCATCGCTGAGGAAACTCCTCCACCCTGTAAACGTAATGGCAATCATTAGATTCTTTTAAAATAGAATGTGATAATAAGCTCACTCAACGCAACACAATGGAGATAAATGGGTATGGATGATTTCTGGTCAGTGATGTTAAAGTTCTACTGAAGTTTACTCGCAGTTCCTATGAAGATTGCGAAGGCTAAGCTTTATATGAGTGTTAGCGATGGAAAGGTCAGTTCAGGTGCTAATGTGAGCTGAAAAGCACAACATTTCTATTCTCTGGTAATACAAAGGCACAATCAATGTAGCCTAACCAACACAAATTTCAGGGAACCCAGTGTTGTGTAGGGCTGTTCATTCGGATCGGATATCCGAAATCCGAACCGATCCATTCAATTTTAAATTTCGGATTTCGGATTGGATCGGATTTCGGATTATGTTTATTAAAATTTCGGATTTCGGATTGGTATATTTTAATCCAATCCAATCCGAAATTATTAGGACATGTATAAATACTACACTTTAATTTACATCAACCTCCAAGTTATTACCTTTACAATTGCTAGATTTAGCTATATTGNCAACAACAACAACAACCCAGTATAATCCCACTTAGTGGAGTCTGGGGAGGGTAGTGTGTACGCAGACCTTACCCCTACCCTAGGGTAGAGAGACTGTTTCCAAATAGACCCCCGGCATCCTTCCCTCCAAGAACTTCCCACCTTGCTCTTGGGGAGACTCGAACTCACAACCTCTCGGTTGGAAGTGGGGGTTGCTTACCATCAGAGTAACCCCTCTTGTCAAACATGAATTTTTCTTAATGTATTGCCTCTTTTACAAAGAAAATATACATATTAGTTTAACTTTGAGGCATAATAATACGATCCGATATCCGATATCCGATCCAAACTTTAAAATCCGATCCGATCCGATCCGATATAATTCGGATTGGATTCGGATTGCATTTTCTAGAATCCGAAATCCGAAATATGCTAAATCCGATCCGATCCGATCCGTGCACAGCCCTAGTGTTGTGCTCACTCAGAAATGTGTTAAACTTTACGAACATGCAAAACTTACCACGACGCAACGCATCTTTTGACTAGTCCAAAGTCGGTGTATTTTAGAGAGCAGTAGTGAGAGCTATTTCACATAAATAATGCCTTCCTCATCAGGGTCGTCGCCCTCCCAATCCCCATCATCATCGCTTTGGTCATTGTTATCAGAAGCTCCAGATGGTGCATTCTTGTTCTCGTTCTCATCCTTAATCCTGTCCAATATAGCAAGTACCTGCAAGATTTGGTTCAACAATAAGTATGACTGAAGGGCATTAAGGGACATTAAAGTAGTGATCTGCCAGAAAATGCACATCGATCATATAGTTATAATCTACTCCAAGTTCAGTACTAATGCTAGCAAAAGAAGACACAAAGCCTATTCACTGCATCATTCCAGAAAGAGGTTATGGTTAAATTGGTCTCAAGAATAAATTTTAGTGCCAAAAGCCATATAAGTCATTTTTTACTTGGATAGAAAGTAATGTTGATTAAGCAAGAACCTAACCAAAAAGTCATGTTGATTAAGCAAAAGAATTACTGGATCAACTTGGAAATGCAAGAATCAGTTTGAGCCGTGGATTATTTGAGAGATCACTGACGATAAAAACGGGCGTTGAGGCTAATAACTTCACTCTTCCTAAATTAGTGACAAATTTCTGAGAAGTGTTTAACAGGCATCTGATACGTTCAAAATCCAAGTCAGTTTGGTGAGTTGTCAATGAACTTGGCCATCATTTAAGTAGGGGAAAGTCAAAGACAAAGGTTAACCTCAATATTAAGAAATTATGGAAGCAAAAATATAGAAGGCTTAGTAGCCAGGAAACAAAAACAGACTTGTAAAATAAGAGAGAAAACTCAAAAGAAAATGCAAAGAGCATAACGCTGTTGGAGATATAAATAACATTAAAGATCCCCCAAAACCAATCAATTTTCTAACAAGAAAATAGATTAGAATTACTCACTCTGCTTCCCCGTTCAATGGACTCATCTTCAATGAAACGAATCTCGGGAGTCAGTCGCAACTTCATTCGCCTCCCTAGCTCACTCCTTACATATTTTGCTTTTGACTTCAAGCCAGACAAAGCCACTTCTTTACCTCTTTCATCTCCAAACACAGAGACATAGACCTTTACAACCTACAGTAGCACAAAAATATTTTTTGAGCCTCCAAATTAGAATATGATAAATCACATGCATCATCCTAATGATCAGAGGAGAGAAGCTTGTCATTTATAGGAGTGATAGGAATCATTTTCTTTGTTGTCTTGTACTAAGTTGGATGCAATTTATTAATAATGGAAAACATCTCTCTCTCTCTCTCTCTCACACACACACACACACACACCTAAAAATTTTCTTTCTTAGTTTCTCATTTTTGCTTGCCTCGACAGCAGACATCACTTTACATAGTCACATACATTAGAGGCACAAATGACAACTTTATTCTGAGAAAGATGAAATTTTGATTGGGGTCTTCTTGTAAGTTGCTAGTGGATGGTGATGGGGGTTTGATCACTTCTTCAGCAAATCGTACCCTCAAAATCAAATGGAGTAAATTTTACCCTAGGGGAGAAGGTAACCACAGCCTTGTCCTGCCAAGGATTGCCATACATATCTTATTCAATATTTGGATGTTTTCTTGTTTCTTAACAGTCACCTCTAGTTTCAACCATAAGACCATCCTTAACATACTATGTAGTCTGTTTAAAAGCAACGCCCTTAGGCTAATTAAAATTTGAAATTATAGGAAAACTCAATTAAACCAGGAGTTCTGAAGAAGTCACCTTCAGCAACTGAAAGTTTTAGATATAACGTTGAAAAAGCATTTGATCTGTAAACAGTACATCCATGTCAATCCAGATATTAGGATCAGTAGCGGGAGACAACCACAACTTAATATCAGTAGTAACATTCTACAAAAGGAGGGTGATCGTCTGTGTTCCAGTGCATATGAGGCGCAAATATGCTTAAAATATGCTTATTGGCTCTGGGATATATGGTCAAAACTCTATACCAACTTTACTAGGATATATGGACAAAACTCTATACCAACTTTATTTTACTCCTACATGTTTGATTAAAATGAACTGATTAAGATCACCTCTTCAAAACAACCAGATGCTATATATGCACTCAGTCAAAGAAGGACAAAAAAAGTGGTGCACTGAGGCAGAATGTAGTGGCATAGCAAAGCCTATCAAATACTACCAAATAAGATCTCTTCATAACGGAGATAATGATTCCCATTATCCCTAGTATATTAAATATATAAACAGATCTACCTAATCCTTCCTTGCCTAGTAAATTGAGAAAAACTTTCAGATAGCAGTACATTCTCTACTTCGGTTCGTTAAGCAATTGAGAAGGAACAGAATTATAATAATATTATAAGAACAGGTTAAACAAGTACAGTTACTGCAAGGATTAAGCTCAGAGCAAGAAAATCTTATGCATAGATTTCACAATATGATAAAAGACTATGGCTTGTTTCAACCAGCCAAAAATGAAGCTTTTCACTTTCTCTTCAACCGATAAATCGACTCAGTTAAGCGAAGAACATACAACATTCTAAGTTTGGCATTAACTAAACAGGATTTAACACGAAAAAAAGAAGCTTATCACAAATTCCTTTCAACAAAAACCTTTCATATGCCTTTTTCTCCTTATTCCATTATGTATATATACACTATCAGTTAAGCGAAAAACATATAATATTCTAAGTTTGGCATTAACTAAACAGGATTTAACACGATAAAAAGAAGCTTATCACAAATTCCTTTCAACAATAACCTCTCATATGCCTTTTTCTCCTTATTTCATTGTGTATATATACACTATCAGTGGATTTTAATTTTTAAACTTTAATAGCTAGTTAGTTACCATACTTACCAACTTATCATGTAATGTTTATAAGAGATTTACATGTAATTACCTTATAAGTGGCCTATTACCTTATAACCGATGTGATAGTGTAAGAAATATTTCCACCGGCAGAATGCATAAAACTTAAGAGGATGTTGTAATCAATTATCATATGGCTACACTTTCTCAAAAAAATTCACCTACGGCTAACGAAACGCAAATGCAACTACTGCAATATCACAATTAACTAACCTTCTTCCTAAATTAAAAGATTTCGCAAATTCGAGCAAAAATTAAGCTAAAATTATTCAAAATTAAGGAACCTGCAAATCCGTTGAAACTTCAACATCACTGATAGTAGTAAGCGAAGAAAGGTATCGATCCGCACCAAGAGCAGCTTCAGGTAGAACAGCGTACTGTAACACCTTATCCGTAAGCAACATGTCGGAGAGCTCTCTTTGTATCTGTTTAGCCACCATTTTAACTCTCCGAGGATTCGCCATACATCTAATGAACCGAAGTTTTACACTCTTGTTGTTGGTTATTAGCTCTGGCAAGTTGAATTGCCGGAGACTGAGAGGCTTCGCCGTGAAAACCGACGGAGACGAACTCACTGTTGCCGGAAAGAAGCATTGTGTGGACGGCGGGAGAGGACGTAAACGTGGAATTTGGATTACGAGGTGCTGCATTACAGAGCTTTTTCGGGTAATCGGGTTGTAGAGATGACCCAGCTGAGAGGAACCGGTTTATTTAGAATATCCGTTTAGTGTTTCTGGAATTAAGTGCAATTATCTTCTTATCCGGTTATTGAAATTTGGGCTCATTTACCAGGTTAGCTACTCTACTATCTCGGGCGACTTCTACTTTTAAAATTATGATTTCATATTTAATATTTTTAAAAACAAATTTGTA